AAGGTCTAGAGTTGAATGTTGGTTATAATCTATGTGGATTTCCATGCTATTTGCAGTTTACCCAAATAGTGTGGGCAACTATGAGACTTCTTTGGATCCAGAGTAGATCTGCCCCAAGAATCCTGCTCTGTTTCATTCAGGCCAACCTCTTTCCTGGGATTTTTGGCCATGCTGGCTCTGAAGGTAGTGAGCTCTGAGACTAAGTGTGTGAGTTCATGTGGGGACTGTAGAGGCAGAGGAGGTAGAATGAGGAGTCTCAGCATGAAGAGGCTGAAGTGCTAGCTTGGAGATTTGTTTGGGATTCCTCTAGGAAGCTCTTCCTGGATCAAAAGAAAATGCTGGGAAAAAGATGTTGTCTAGAATTAGGGATAATAGACACTGTCTAGAAAAGGGGCGGCTCACAGTTTAATGGTGGAGGTGACTATAACTTTCACTTTGTATCTGCATGAAGTTTACAGTTTTTATAGGGCCCTTAGGAATGCAGCAAAATAGAAAGAGTACAGAACTAGGATTCAGCACATTCGAGTGCCAGTCCATCATTAACCAGCTAGGGGACAACACTTCTGGGCCTCAGTTCCCTTTTCTGTAAATGAAGGAGAGGGCAACCCAAATATGCTCTAAAAACTGTTCCATGATTCTATAAAAATAGATGAGTTTCCCATGCTACCATTTTAGAAACTGGACGTAGCAGGAAAGTAAATTAATGTCTTGGGTTGGGTTCTTGGGAAAGTTTGGGGTGCAAGTGGATTAGGTAGGATGAGGCTGCCCCAGGGATCTTTGTTCCATCTTTTTCTTCCCCCCTCTTTCTCCCCTCCCCTTTACCTCTCTGGTGGGAGGCAATGTGCTGTAGTGGCAAATTAACTGGACTTGGAAATCAAACAGAGATACATTTTAATCCATGCTCTGCCACTTATTGACTGTGTGTGACCCGGGGCAAATTTCTTAACCTCCCTCTGCTTCAGTTTCCTCATCTATAAAATGGAGTTTATCTTCCTGAAGGCTATCATAAGGGTTGAATATTTGATGTGAAAAAAGGACACAGGAGGTTTGTTATTATTCTTCCACAAATATACTAATACTGGTGTTGTTTATGTTTTTTTTTTTTTTTTGAGACAGGTCTTACTCTGTTGCCCAGGCTGGAGTGCAGTTGTGCAATTCCGGATCACCGTAGCCTTGATCTACTGGGTTCAAGCAATACTCCTGCCTCAGCCTCCTAAGTAGCTGGGACCACAGGCGCCCAGCTAACTTTTAATTTTTTTGCAGAGACAGCATCTTGCCATCTTGCCTAGGCTGGTCTCAAACTCCTAGGCTCAAGCAATCCTCCTGCCTTGGCCTCCCAAAGTGCTGGGATTACAGGCATAAACCACTATGCCCAGCCCGTTGTTTATGTTTATGACTTTAGGACTCTGATTTCGACACGGAATTCTATGATCTTTTACTCCTCCATCTCATCCATTTTCTGTTTATTTTGCATGGAAAAAACCTGGAAATCATCAATTTTTACTTTTGCAGATTTTAATTGTCTCAAGGCTCAGCTTAGCTCACACCATAAATCTGGATGAGCTGGGTGGCACAAGGTACAAGAACTAATGGGCAGACAGAATTTTCCCACCAAGTTACAATATAAACATTATTATAGGCATTTAAAAAATGCTTACATTGGCCAGGCATGGTGGCTGACACCTGTAATCCCAGCACTTTGGGAAGCCAAGGTTGGTGGATCACCTGAGGTCAGGAGTTCAAGACCAGCCTGGCTAACATGATGAAACCCTGTCTCCACTGAAAATTAGCTAGGCCTAATGGTGGGCACCTGTAATCCCAGCTACTCAGGAGGCAATCACTTGAACCCAGAGACAGAAGTTGCAGTGAGCCGAGGTCATGCCATTGCACTCCAGCCTGAGCAATAAGAGCGAAACTCTGTCTTGAAACAGAAAAAAAAAAATGCTGGCATTAAAAGTATTCATGAGTAACAGGTAACCAACTCACTGGGAGTGTATGTATTTCCTTATTATATATTTAAGGGTAAGAGGAATAAAGACAATGCAAGGGAGGCCTTGGATTCCTTGTAAAGTCCTAGTGTACTTTAAAGTTTCAATAGCAGGCTGGGCTCGGTGGCTCACACCTGTAATCCCAGCACTTTGGGAGGTCAAGGTGAGAGGATCACTTGAGGTCAGGAATTCAAGACCACTCTACCAAAAATATAAAAAAATTAGCCAGGTTTGGTGGTGCACACCTCTAATCCCAGCTACTCAGGAGGCTGAGGCAGGAGATTCGCTAGAACCCAGGAGGCAGAGGTTGCAGTGAGCCGAGATTGTGCCACTGCACTCCAGCCTGGGTGACAGAGTGAGATTCCATCTCAAAGTAAATAAATAAATAAATAAATAAATAAATAAATAAATAAATAAGTTTTAACAGCATCACAGCAGGTATCTGTCATGGTTATACACTAACAGCTCTTAAAAATAAATTTACTGAAGTTCAGGATACTTCATAAATTATCTATAAATTGTATCTTGATTCTGCAATCAATAAAAATAGCTTCTGTAGGTGAGAAGTTAAATGGTGAGCATTTTCAAGTTCCTTCTAAATGCAGTTTTGAATAACATTTACAAATTATTTCTGCTATACCTTTAATCTCAGTTGTTGGAGGGGTGACATTTAGGATCTGCACCAGGACTTTACAAAGAGTGTCCATGTGATGGCTTTGGATAGCCACCCCGCCTGTTGCCCTCAGTCCTGAGGTCCTCCGGCAGTCCAGATAAGTTCCTACCACACTTAAAGAGTAAATGGACGAATACAAAAGCAGGAAGTGAGCTCCTTGAGGGCAGGAGCTGTGTTATTCATTGTTGTATATCTAGAACCTGGGGAAGTGGCTGGCACTTTGCAGATACTACTTAGTGAGTCTCAGAGTCTGAGAGTACAGTCACACGTTGTTTAACTACAGGGATATGTTCTGAGAAATGCATCATTAGGTGGTCTCACTGTTGTGCAAACATCATATAGTGTACTTACACAAACCCAGATCATATGGCCTACTATGCAATTTAGGCTATATGGTGTAGTCTATTGCCTCTAGGCTATAAACCCAGACAGCATGTAACTGTACTGAATATTGTGGGCAATTGTAACCCAATGGGGAGTATTGGTATAACTTACGTAGAAAAGGTACAGTAAAAATATCATATAAAAGACAAAAAATGGTGCACCTATATAGGACTCTTACCATAAGTGGAGCTTGCAGACTGGAAGCTGAGTTCAGCTGTTAAGACTGGGTGAGTCAGTGCGTGAGTGGTGAGTGGATGGGAAGGCCTGAGATACTGCTGTATGCTACTATAGACTTTATCAACACTGTACATTCAGGCTACACTAAATTTATTTAAAAAGTTTTTCTTTCTTCAATAATAAATTAATCTTGGCTTACTGTCCCTTTTTTACCTTATAAACTTAAAAATTTTTTGACATTTTTGACTCTTTTGTAAAATACTTAGCTTAAAACACAATCACACTGGATAGCTGGACAAGAATATTTTCTTTCTTTATATACTTACTCTATATATTTTTTCTATTTTTAAAATTATTTTTTGCATTTCAAACTGCTTTTTTAAAAATTAAGACAATCACACACATTAGCCTAGGCCTAAACAGGGTCAGGATCATCAATATCACTGTCTCCCACCTCCACACCTTGTCCCATTAGAAGGTCTTGGAGGGTGATAACACACAGGGAGCTGTCATCTCCTATAACAATGCCTTCTTCTGAAATACCTCCCGAAGGGCCTGCCTGAGGGTGTTTTATGATTGCCTTTTTTAAAAATAAGTAGAAGTACACTCTAAAATAATGGTGAAAAGTTTAGTATAGTAAATACATAAACCAGTAACATAGTCATTTATTATCAATATTAAGTATTATGTACTGTACACAATTGTATACTTTTACATGACTGGCAGCATCATTTTGTTTACAACAGCATCACCACAAACATATAAATAATGCGTTGAGCTATGATGTTGCAACAGCTATGACATCATTAAGCAATAGAAATTCTTCAGCTCCATTATTATCTTATGAGACTACCGTTGTATATGTGGTCCACTGTTGCCCAAAATGTCATGATGTGGTCCACTATACTGGGTCTCTGTTAAGCAGAAATGGAGATGCCCTGGGTAGGAACATTTGGTAGTGTTGTGAAAAGCATATCTAAGGCATGTTCTGAACCATAAGGTTCAACAGTGAAACTACAATGGGATGTGTCATTCCGTCTTCAGATAATATCCCCATCTTGAATAATTCTGGGAGTTGAGACTCTGAGATTTCCTCTAGAGAGTAAAGGAATGGAATCAAAATGCCTTCTTAGCTAAAGTTAAAATACAAGGGTAGCAGAGTTTGAAATGAAGCCCCTGTCCCAATGTGGGACAGTGTTTCTCTTGCGGTGAGAAATTCACCTCACCAAATGTAGCCCATCAAATCCTACAGAGAGGTAGAAGCACTGGCCTTGCCATTCATATTTCCAGATACAGTGAAAGAAAGAAATGACCAAAAGGAATGAGCCTATGAAAGTACAAGGTTAGCCTGACAGTTAATTAGAGGTTTGAAGGAAGACAGATTGGCTGTTCTAGAAGGTGGTTTACTGGCTGATTTCAAGGACCCCTGCAAGTTGAGAATGATGAGATCTGTTCATTTTTCCTTCAGTGTAATGAATCATGCCTCCGATGACAATTTTGTGTGAGTCATGTTTTATCAGCTTCTTTCTGAATGATTGCTTATCACTCGGGAGCTCCCCAATCATTTGAAGATTGTCAGAATGAAGTCAGATTTCAGCTGGGGAGGTAGAATGTTCTGTTTTGGAGGACACATTTGGTTATACCTGACAAGCAGGGACGTCCTGGCTCCAGGAATCTTCTTCCTATTGCATGCCGGAGGACACTGCACAGTCTTTCTGAGTGGGCCGACAGCCTGGCAGCTAGAAATGGGTACAAGGAGTGTTCCCTCCTCTGTTCCCTCAGCAAGACAGGATCTTGAGGAAGGCTTTCCGGAACTCGATATTGAAGGTGGTATAGATCACGGGGTTGAGGGCGCTATTCACATAGCCCAGCCATGTCGTGGCACTGTAAAGCTCTGGGGACACGTGGCATGTCTGGCAGTGGGTATTGAGAACATGGGTCAAGAAGAAAGGCAGCCAGCAGACAATGAAGGCCCCTAAGTTGCCAAAGAAGAGAGAAACTGGGTAAGGGATTTGCTTACTCCTTTTGTTATAACATGAGAATGACTCACGGTTGTCTACTTTATGCCAGCCACCAAGCTAGAAGTTTTGCATACCCACTTACTTTTTTTTATAACAACCCTAGGCTGGGTGCAGTAGCTCACTCTTGTAATCCTAGCACTTTGGGAGGCCGAGGCGGGTGGATCACCTGAGGTCAGGAGTACAAGACCAGTCTGGGCAACATGGTGAAACCCTGTCTCTACTAAAAATACAAAAATTAGCTTGGCGTGGTGGTGCGTGCCTGTAATCCCAGTTACTCGGGAGGCTGAGGCAGGAGAATCGCTTGAACCCAGGAGACAGAGGTTGTGGTGAGCCAAGATTGCGCCATTGCACCCCAGCTTGGGTGACAGAGTAAGACTCCATCTCAAAAAAAAAAAAAACAAAACAAAACCAAAAAAACAAAACAAAACAAAACAAAAACCCCAACCCTATGAAGTAGGTGTGATTAGCCAAATTTTTTTAGGTGAGAAAACTGCAAGCTAATGTTTTTGATTCACTTTGGCCTTTGTTACTAAATCAATTTTCTAGTTTAGTCTCTAGGTAGTTCTTTACTAATCTTTTTCTTTTCTTTTTCAATTCAATTCAGACATTTATTTAATGTCTACCTATGCAAAACATGATCCTAGGCACTGATAGGTATGAAGACCTTCAAGATGTGACTGACATAGTTTCTGCTGTCGAGGAGATTACATCTAGGCGTTCTAGTAAACTCCCTGATACAGGAGAGGGTTGGGGTTTGTCAGTGACACTGACCAGGATGAATTGCCTTCACTAACTCTATAGCGTACCTGTGATTTATTCATTTTTAATTTCTTTATTTAAATAAAGTTCAGGCTGGGCACAGTGGCTCACACATGTAATCCCAGCACTTTGGGAGGCCAACGTAGGTAGATCACCTGAGGTCAGGAGTTCAAGTCCCAGCCTGACCAACATGGCGAAACCCTGTGTTTACTAAAAATATAAAAATTAGCTGGGCGTGGTGGTGCATGCCTGTAATCCCAGCTACTTGGGAGGCTGAGGCAGGAGAATCACTTGAACCCGGGAGGCAGAGGTTGCAGTGAGCCAAGATCGTGCCATTGCACTCCAGCCTGCGTGACAGAGTAAGACTCTGTCTCAAATAAATAAATAAATAAATTTCATATTTTATGACTCTAAAAATTACCCCTGATTCTGGTGGGATGTGGTGGCTCACGTCTATAATGCCAGTGCTTTGGGAGGCTGAGACGGGAGGATTGCTTGACGCCATGAGTTTGAGACCAGCCTGAGCAACGTAATGAGACCCTGTCACTACAAAAAACAAATAAAAATTTAAAAATTAGTTGGTCATGGGGGCATACGCCTGTAGTTCTAGCTACTCGGTGAGCTCGGGCAGGAGGATTACTTGAGCCCAGGAGTTCAAGGCTGCAGTGAGCTATGACTGTGCCACTCTACTCCAGCCTAGGCAACAGAGTCAGACCATGTCTCGAAAAACCAAAAACCAAAAAACCTTGATTGTATGCATTATGGAAAGCTTGGTAAATCAGATAAGTAGGAAAAAAGGAATAAGCACCCACCACTCAAAGACAATTACTTTGGATATCTTGGTGAATTTCTTTCCAGTCTTTTTTACTCTGTATTTAAAATAATCTAGATTTTCTCATACCATATCACAGTAGTGTTTTGCAGCCCTATTTTTATCACTTAATTTTTAAAATAACTAAGCATTTATCAAATATTCAATATGTACCAGTTTTATTGAATCATTATCTTATTTATTGTTTGATTTATGTGTTCTAGCTCCATACAATGGACAGCAAAACACAGCTCAGTTAAGTGGCTTGTTCAGCTTCATAAATTTTAGCCTAGGTCTTTCGAATTTCCACCAGAGTTAGCATTTATACACAAATACTTTTCAATTATATTGTGAACATTTGATAAACATTACTGTCATCAAATTTCCAATTTCTGTCAAATGTGGCTACCTTAGCATCTTCCACCAGCTCCACTTAACACAACCTAACCCAACCCAACTCAAGTCAACCCAAACTTACCAAGCACAATGGCCACCATCTGGGTTGCCTTCTTCTCCCGAAGTGGCACCCCCCGAGGTTGCAGGGGCCCCAGCTTCAGAGATGTTGATAATCTGCCATTGCTGAGTTTTCGAACCTCTAGGCTGAGCTTGGGTGCTATGGTGGGACTCAGGGAGTTCCGAGTCCTCTCCTCTCTTTTCAACTCTCCTCCTCTTTCTTGGAAGCCTGGTCCACCCAAGGCAGTGTCTTGGCAGATGCTGTAGTAACGCTTCAGCTCCAGATGTGCCCGGTCAGGAGAGAGGGTCTGCAGGTGCAACAAGAGGGAATCCTGACATTTCTAGGGGTATTGTTTATCTTCTGAATGTTCATGAAAGGGCCAGAGAATTCAAAGAAGGAAGTGGGGGAGCATAGTTGTGGGAAACCTACAAAGGGGACACCTGAGAGAGCGGTGGGACCATGAAAAGTTAAGGGAAATAAAATTTACTTTAGACTTTACAACTAAAAAGCACCCACCATATCATCAGAGTGAACAGGCAACCTACAAAATGGGAGAAAATTTTTGCAATCTATCCATCTGACAAAGGTCTAATATCCAGAATCTACAAGAAACTTAAACAAATTTGCAAGAAAATAAACAACCTCATTAAAAAGTGGGCAAAGAATATGAACAGACACTTCTCAAATGAAGACATTTATGCAACCAATAAACATATGAAAAAAAGCTCATCATCACTGGTCATTAGATAAATGCAAATCAAAACCACAATGAGATACCATCTCACACCAATTAAAATGGTGATCATTAAAGAGTCTGGAAAACAACAGATGCTGGTGAGGATGAGGATAAATAGGCACACTTTTACACTGTTGGTGGGAGTGTAAATTAGTTCAACCATTGTGGAAGACAGTGTGGCCATTCCTCACGGATCTAGAACCAGAAATACCATTTGACCTAGCAATCCCATTACTGGGTATATACCCAAAGGATTATAAATCATTCTACTGTAAAGACACATGCACACGTATGTTTATTGCAGCACTATTTACAGTAGCAAAGACTTGGAACCAACCCAAATGCCCATCAATGATAGACTGGATAAAGAAAATGTGGCACATGTACACCATGGAATACTATGCAGCCATAAAAAAGAATGAGTTCATGTCCTTTGCAGGAACGTGGATGAAGCTGGAAACCATCATCCTCAGCAAACTAACACAGGAACAGAAAAGCAACCACCACATATTCTCACTCATAAGTGGGAACTGAACAATGAGAACACATGGACACAGGGAGGGGAACATCACACACTGGGGCCTGTCAGGGGATGGGGGGCAAGGGGAGGGAGAGCATTAGGACAAATACCTAATGCATGCAGAGCTTAAAACCTAGATGATAGGTTGATAGGTTCAGCAAACCACAATGGCGCATGTATACCTATAAACAAACCTGCACGTTCAGCACACGTACCCCAGAACTTAAAGTTAAAAAAAAAAAGCAGCACCCACCACATATAGAACATTTGATAATCACAACAGCCCCTTGAGCAGGGTAGCACAGAATTGTAGTCTGGCCTTTTTGAGTTAGAATGACCTGGTGATACAGAGAAACAGATTAAGTGACACTGCTATGACATAAGCCCCAAAATGTGGAGTGTGGGAAACTCCACAAGACAAATGACTCAGTTTCTTCAACAGATAAATTTTAACAACAACAATGACAATACTTAACAGTTGCAAAATATGTGCCTTATTTGAATTGTGATTCAAACAAACCAACTGTAAAATAATTTACAAGATAATTGGGGAAATTTGAACATCAATTGGACATTTAGTGATATTAGAAAACTATTATTAATTTTTTAATGTAATGTGGTATTATGGTTGTGTGTCTTATAAAACAGTCTGTATTCTTTTTTTTTTTTTTTGGGGGGGGACGGACTGTCACTCTTATTGTGCAGGCTGGAGTGCCGTGGCACGATCTCGGCTCACCGCAACCTCCGCCTCCTGGGTTCAAGAGATTCTCCTGCCTCAGCCTCCCAAGTAGCTGGGATTACAGGCATGTGCCACCACACCCAGCTAATTTTGTATTTTTAGTAGAGATGGGTTTCTCTATGTTGGTCAGGCTGGTTGCAAACTCCTAACCTCAGGTGATCCGCCTACCTTGGCCTCCCAAAGTCTTGGGATTACAGGCGTGAGCCACTGCACCCGGCCAATGGTCTGAATTCTTTAGAGGATCTTGCAGAAATATTTTGGTTTGAAATAACATGGTGTTTAGGATTTGCTTCATAGCAATCCAGTGGGGATGTGTGAACATAGGTGGGATTGTAGATGAAATAAGATTGGCCACGAGTTGATCACTACTAAGGCTGCCTGATGGCTACTGGGGGTTTGTTATATTTGTCTTTCTACTTTTTTATTTTTGAAAACTTCCTTTACAGAAAGTTAAAAAAAGAAAGCCCAGGATTTTCTTCTCAGCTTTCTTACTTAGTAGATGTATCTTTAGGCAAGTTAATTTAATATCTCTGAGCTTCATTTGTAAAACAGAAAAGAAATAGGGAAAAATGGGTTTTGGATGAGTAGCCTCCGAGAATGGAAAACTGAAGTATGTTAATTTTTCTGGTATGGACGAGGAGATGTGTGTGTGCCCAACTTGAACTTCTTTTCATGTTTGAAGAATCAAACTCCTGTGTCAGTCTTGAACAGGAGGCAGAACTCAACTCCTCAACTCCCCTTACTGATGCCATAAAAGCCAGATATTCACTTCACACCTCCATCCCCACACAGCTAGAACTCAGGCACGTGCACCAAGCCCAGTCAACTGCAGATTCACAGCTGAGACTTTGAACTGGAACTTGTAAAGCAGGGAGACTTCAGAACTCCTCCAGTAGTGGTGACATTCAATGTCCAGTGTCCTAGGTCTTCTAACCAGATAATTTCTTAGGCATGAAAAGCATCTTTCTGAAGCTCTTCTTCAGCCTTCTCATTGAGCCTGTGAGCCACCTGACAGCTCTCCAGTAAATCTGTTTTCTACATAAGTTAGTCAGTGTCAGCAACCAAAACCCCTCACTTTGGTTTCCTTAGTTCAAGGAAGCAGTTTTCTAGATACACAGAGCTGGCACATTGTACATACTCAGAATGAATGAATGAATGCAAGGGGTCTTCAAGATGATTTAGTGTTATTTATTTATTATTTTTAGTAGAGATTAGTTCTTGCTATGTTGGCCAGGCCGGTCTCAAATTCCTGGGCTTAAGTGATCCTCCTGTCTTGGCCTTCAAAAGTGTTGGGATTACAGGTGTGAGCTACCATACCCAGCCAATTTAGGTTTTTAAAATATTAATTAATTAATTAATTAATTATTTAATTTACTGAGACAAAGTCTCACTCTGTCACCCAGGCTGGAGTGCAGTGGCATGATCTCGGCTCATTGCAACCTCTGCCTCCCAGCTTCAAGTGATTTTCCTGCCTCAGCCTCCTTAGTAACTGGGATTACAGGTACCCGCCACCACACCTGGCTAATTTTTGTATTTTTAGTAGAGATGGGTTTTCACTATTTTGGCCAGGCTAGTCTTGAACTCCTGACCCCAAGTGATCTACCCGCCTCAGCCTCCCAAAGTGCTTGGATTACAAGCATGAGCCACCATGCCTGGCCTAGAGTTTTTTTTAAAAATTGTACTCCACAGAGGTATTCTTAGGAATTCTAGAATAATATACATTTTTTCTGAAGATTTAAAAAATTCGTATATAATAATTTTACATATTTATGGGGTAAATGCAATATTTTGATACATGCATACAATGTGTAATGATCAAATCAGGCTAGTCATGGCTTCAAACAATTATCATTTCTTTGTGTTAGGAGCATTTCAAATCTTTTCTTCTAGGTGTTCTGAAATATACAAAAACTGCTGTTAAGCATAGTCACCCTACTGTGCTATTAGACACTAGAATTTGTTCCTTCTATTTAATTGTATGTTTATACCCATGAATCCACCTCTCTTCCTTGCCCCTTCCCCCATCTCCTTCCTAGCCTCTGGTAACCATGAATCTACTCTCTATTTTCATGATAACCACTTTTTTTTTTTAGCTCCCATAGGTGATTGAGAACATGTGATATTTGTCTTTCTATGTCTGGCTTATTTCACTTAACATTACCTCAAGTTAAGAGAATATGTATTTAAAATTTTTTGGTTTTATTTTGATGGCATTTTCTAATAATTAAAATAAGCATATCTCATTTTATCTGAATGCCTATTTACAATTGAGATTATGGTGTGTTTTTTTTTGGTGTTGTTTTGTTTTTTGTGTTTTTGTTTTGTTTTGTTTTTGAGATGGAGTCTCCCTCTGTCGCCCAGGCTGGAGTGTAGTGGTGCAATCTCAGCTCACTGCGACCTCTGCTTCCCGGGTTCGAGTGATTCTTGTGCCTCAGCCTCCTGAGTAGCTGGGATTATAGGTGCATGCCACTACGCCCGGCTAATTTTTGTATTTTTTTAAGTAGAGTCGGGGTTTCGCCATGTTGGTCAGGCTGGTCTCAAACTCCTGACCTTGTGATGTGCTCGCCTCGGCCTCCCAAAGTGCTGGGATTACAGGCATGAGCCACCATGCCCGGCCCCAAGATTATGTTTATAATTAAACTGGCACCTACTGATCTTCTGAAAGTGACAATATTTGACTTCTAACGCATTATTTCTAAAACTAGGGGATGGGAAACAAATTCTTGGGATTGCCTAAGAAATCCCATATTTAGCTGGGTGTAGTGGATGAGATGAGAGGATTACTTGAGCCCAAGAGTTCAAGGCTGCAGTGAGCTGTGATCACACCACTGCACTCCAGCCTGGGGAACAGAGTGAGACTCTGTCTCAAAAAACAAACAAAAAAAAAAAACAAAAAAACTCAGATTTGAAAACATTGATCTAGTATACCCTGTTTCCATTTTACAGATATGGAAATTCAGTCCTATAGTAGGAAAATGATTCTTCCAAGATTATATATTGGTGAGTGTATTTTTCAGCTCTGTGCAAAACCTGTTCACTACTTCCATGACTGACATGAGGAAACACTGGATTTCTCTGGGTCTGGCTGGCAGAGCCCTCCACTCCCAGATGGCAGGACAGAACCTAATTCTCTACACTCTTGGAAATGCCAGCCTCTTGGCTGTCCCATCTCTCGTTTGTATTCAATATTTTTCCTCCTTTTGGCCTTGAAGCCTCCTCAGACCTTGGATCAGCCATAGGCAACTTTGAGCTGCATAGCTATTATCATTTAAAATGATTATCTCCAATTACTATACCAGGCCTGTGTAAAAAGTCATTAACTATACTGAGATTGAACAAAGCTCAGACCTTAATTATTACAAATTTTTGAAGTTTTATTTCTAATGTGGAATTCAGAGAGAGGAATACTGTTCTTATATCTAACACCTCCAGATTCCATTCTGCACTCTGCTAGCTGGGCGAGGCAGGCCTGGCTTGAATTGCAAGAACAAGACTAATGGTGACCATGAAATTGTCTTCATTTTTCCCACATTCAGTAGTAAATATGGCACTTGGAATTTTCCTTTCTCTGCCTGGTTTTTGCTCTGCCCATGTGTGTTCCCTTGACGTCTGTTTCCTCTAATGCAGGTGGCCTTGGATGGCATTGTCACACTCTGTGCAAGAGTCATTGGCTCCAGTCACTAAGGTCAAGCCCAATAGTCATATGCTTTCTGAATTATCATCTGATGAATTCTATTCTGCAGCTTAAATTAGGAGGCATTTCAGATCTTGTCTTATAGATATATGTGTGGGAATCAGGGCAAGGTTTCATTCTGGGGTGAGAGTAGAATCAAGATAAGCCAGTATTGTGGCAAAAGGTCTCTTATTCTTTCTCTATGATCAAAGACATGGCCCACTTACCATTTTTCCTGTGGCGTCTGATGGAAATCGGGCCCTTACTGAAAACTGCCGAATGGGGTGCAGCTGCAGACAAGAAGACTAGGGGTGGGGGGTTGAAGGAGGAACAGTCAGTTGTGGGTCTAGCCATGTTATAGGTAGCCATGTGACATAATAATATTTTGAATGCAATACTTTCATATCCTCAGCCTTGGGTCTTGATCTTCTCTTTCATGGGGATTAATAGTCTTGTTTCACTCAAGCCTTGGGACTTCAACTTAAGAGTCTGGCCTTCATTCATACTTTTGACATCATCAAAGACCTTAAGAGGTCATCAAAGATAATCTAGGTCATCAGGCCGGGCGCTTACGCCTGTAATCCTAGCACTTGGAGAGGTTGAGGTGGGCAGATCATTTGAGGCCAGGTGTTAGAGACCAGCCTAGCCAACATGGCAAAACCCTGTCTCTACTAAAAATATAAAAATTAGCCAGATGTGTTGGTGGGCACCTGTAATCCCAGCTACTCAGGAGACAGAGGCACGAGAATGTCTTGAACCCAGTAGGCACAGGCTGCAGTGAGCTGACATCATGCCACTGCACTCTAGTTGGGGTGACAGAGCGAGACTCTGTCTCAAAAAAAAAAAAAAAAAAAAAAAAAAGATTATCTAGGTCATCAAAGATTAATCTAGACATCCAAATCGGATCTGCCTTCAAGATCAAACTCAATTCTTACTCTGTCTATGGAGCCCTTTCCTGAGTGTATTAATCTATTTTCATGCTGCTAATAAAGACATATCTGAGACTGGGTAGTTTATAAAGAAAAATAAGTTTAATGGATTCACAGTTCCATGTGGCTGGGGAGCCCTCACAATCATAGTGGAAGGTGAAAGGCATGTCTTACATGGCAGTAGACGAGAAAATTTGTGCAGGGAAACTCCTCCTCATAAAACCATCAGATCTCGTGAGACTTATTCACTATCATGAGAACAGTAGTGGAAAGACCCACCCCCATCATTCAGTTACCTCCCACTGGGTCCCTCCCATGACACGTGAGAATTGTGGGAGCTACAATTTGAGATGAGATTTGGGTGGGGACATAGCCAAACCATATACTAAGCATATTGGTTTTTCTCTTCTATAGCCTCCAGAGCACTTCATAATTGAGTGCTTAATTGTCTTCACCTCACATTTGGCAAACATCCTATTCAGCTCTGGGCTCTTTATTAACTTTGAATGGAGGGGTGCTTTATTTGCTTGTCTAGATTCTAAGCTCCATGAAGGCAGAGGCTGTTTAATGTTACCACTGTCCCTTCCCTAGTAGATTTCAAGTGATCGGTATATATCCATTCATGCTTCAAGTACATCGTGGGAAAGCTACTAAGTGCCAGGCAATGGGGTAAGGAGAAATTAAAGCCCTAGAAATTGGAAAGTCATCGCAGAGGCAATGATATTTCTTTTCAGAGCCTAGAAAGAGCCAGTAAAATGCTTTATCAGCACCATATCCCACCGGCTTGTCAGTTCCTTGACACAGGGACAGATCCAGTAAGGAAAAAAGGTTTTGATGGACCCCAATGATCCTTGGGATGAGTGTTTTAGACAAAAAGTCAGTTCTGGGAACCCACCAGCAGTGCAAGGTACAACTGCTGCACTTAAACTTCAAAACCTGTGGGACATCTGAACTGCTGCGCATTTGGGGAAAATGAAAGACTTTGAAGGGAAGCAGAACAAGCCCAGGAGCTATCCAATCACTTTGCCAGGTAAGGTAGGCTCTAGAGACAACTATCAGTGTTTTCTTGAGATTGGATTTCCTACCTTCAAAGCACAGCCAATATTAGCAGATTACAAAGTGGGTGTCAGATTTGTGTCTCCAATGTAGCTAAACGGCAAAATCGTGCACTGCTGGACACAGGCTGGGAAGTCAGGAGATTGTGTGTTGTCTTCCCTCTACCCACTCCAGGGTGCTTACTTGTTGAGGGAAGCCAGGCCTGACACTGTTGCACTGACTGTTCTGTCGAGTGAGGATCCTTTTCCGTCTCCTTTGTTTTAACACCACATAGATTCTGGCATAGACAAGGACGGTCACTCCAAAGGGCAAGTAGAAGGACACCACTGAAGAGTAGATGACAAAATCAGGATTGGAGATGGAGCAGACAGTGGGGTCCCCTGTGGATGAGAAGGGGGAAGGTAAAGCAGTTAGCAAGTATCAGAACTCAGTAGGGAGGGTAAAACACGGCCCCATGTCACACATGGTGCCCGCACCTTCTGCTGCACAGCAGGTGGGGAGGATGCAGTCTCAGATACGTATACTGTCAGGTCAGTGAGGGTAGAAGGTCTAATTCATCTTTGAGTTTCTCATAGTTTACTTAAAAAGAAAATTTACCAACAATCATGTTCCAGATACTGGGGCTACAAAGATGAATGAGACACCATGTCTGCTCTCAAGGGAGCAAACAGTCTAGATAGATGATCCCTTTCATAGGATGTCACAAGTGTCACACAGAGACATGCAGCCTGGGAGGCTGGGGAGAGCATTACAGGGCAACAGGGCAGAGGCTCCCAGGAGGGATGCAGCCCCAAGAAAAGGGCCTGCTGTTGTGGAGGCATTCGAGAATTGTTGGAATGCAATGAAAGGAAGAAGCCTTATTTGCTGAGAATGCCAGTTCTCCAATTTTGAATCTGGGATGGAGGGCAGGTGGTAGCTGAATACAAGACAGAGATTTGATTTTTCAGGCAATCCCAGCACTTGTTAGAGATGGGGTGGGGAAAAGGCAGGTAATGATATTGTGACATGGAGAATGTGCATTTAGAAAGATCTTTGTCCCTGCTTTATGTCCTGAAATGTTCCTGCCATTTCTCCTTGGGAGGTCCCTGTAGCTTTGCCTTCTTCATAGCAGATACTGAGATTCCTCCAAGGCCCAAGATGGGCCTGAAACGTGCCCCATCTTGAAAAAGAAAAGAAAAGCAAACTAATATCTGTCAGGCAATGAGCCAAGAGCTTTGTACACCTTATCCTACCTAATAATTATGGCAATATTATATGAGGCAGGTGCCATTACCGTCTCTCTTCTCAGATGAGCAGACTAAAACTCAGAGAGGTTCAGTAAGTAGCCCAAGGTTGCACTTGTCAAATATGTTCCTGCAGCCAGTTTTATGCCCAAGCCAATGTTCTTTCTGTAGTTTTAACTCCCCATCCCCCTTTACTGTTGTGACATGGAACATCTGTGCTTCATCCAGCACTGTCAGCACAACTGTTGGTACACCCAGCCAGTCTTCATAACGGGTTGGGGATTCTCCAACCCCAAAGTTGGCCTTGGAAGATGAAGCCTTAGGTGTGGGCTGGTGGGGAGAGGGCAGTGGCCATGTAGGCTTCTTATTCTGCTTCTTGGTTTTCTGAGGTAGGTGGAAGTCAGAGAACCCTAAGTGTGAGATTCAGGTCTGCTATTTATTAACTGTGTGATCTTGGACGCGTTTCTTTTATTTATTTATTTATTTATTTATTTATTTAGATGGAATTTCGCTCTTGTTGCCCGGGCTGGAATGCAGTGGCTCGATCTCAGCTCACCGCAACCTCCACCTCCCAGGTTCAAGCGATTCTCCTGCCTCAGCCTCCCGAGTAGCTGGGATTACAGGCATGGGCCACCATGCCCAGCTAATTTTTTTTGTATTTTTAGAAGAGACAGGGTTTTTCCATGTTGGTCAGGCTAGTCTTAAATTCCCGACCTCAGGTGATCCACCCGCCTTGGCCTCCCAAAGTGCTGGGATTACAGGCGTGAGCCACCGCGCCCAGCCGACACGTTTCTCAAATATGCAAAGCTTCAGTTTTATTATCTGTAAAAAAAAAAAAAAAAAAAAAAAAAAAAAAAAAAAAGGATAGAAATATTTTATAGTAGTTGTGAGAATTAATGAGAATAAATGATAGCTATTATTTATATCTATTCATTATTTCTCTCCCTGAGCTTTTTGAACTGAAAGGGAAGGTATCATCTGGAATGGAAATTTGGAGACAGACTTACAGGAAACAATGTTTGTGGGAGAAGGAAGGGAATAAAAGCTAAGAACTAAAATGAAAAGAGTGTGCTCAGTGATGCATTTTAATGACAACTTTGCCACTAGAATCTTTACAAGCTACTCCTAAATTCTCTGGTTCTCTGAAGAGGAGGTAAAATTCAGGTGAATTTCATGTTGTTTCACCAACACCTGTGTCATCATCCTTTAGAAAATGGCTCACAGGGGCCAGGCACGGTGGCTCACGCCTGTAATCCCAGGGCACTTTGAGAGGCCGACAAGGGTGGATCACAAGGTCAGGAGTTCAAGACCAGCCTGACCAACATGGTGAAACCTCATCTCTACTAAAAATACAAAAATTAGCCGGGCGTGGTAGTGCGAGCCTGTAATCCCAGCTACTCAGGAGGCTGAGGCAGGAGAATCACTTTAACCTGGGAGGTGGAAGTTGCAGTGAGCTGAGATTACGCCACTGCACTCCAGCCTGGATGACAGAGCGAGACCCTGTCTCAGAAAAAAAAAAAAAAGAAAGAAAAAAGAAAAAAAGAAAAAGAAAATGGCTCATAGGCTCTGCGTAGTTCACCAAATTGGCATCTCCTGGTATTCAGGGGTGATGGAGTTGGCAAGAGGGATGGGGTGGCAGCGCATGGTCTTTCAGAATCTCTAGGGAGCCATGTCGGTGGTGATCCACCCCTTCTCTGAAGTCAGCTTTTCTGTTGTCAGCATCTGACAACAGACTATTCTACTATTCTTTTAACTTTTTGTGTAACTAAGCTCCCCCTCCCCCAACCTAGCTCCAGTGCCCTGAAAACTAGGTGAGATGTTCTATTGATGAATTCAGATAAATGGCACTCCTCCATTTCCTTCTTTCAAAGGTGGTTTTAAATCCTGCCTATCATGAGGAGGCGTTTCACATGTCTCACGTGTGAGAAGAGGCCAGCGGGGTGGCACTGCCCATCTTGTTGCCATCTTTGGTGTCCTGGATATTCCCTGTTAGTCCCTCTACCTAACTTTCTACCTTTTCCTACCCACTCTGGGTTCTGGGAGGCTGGCCTCTAAATTTTATGTATGAGCTATCTCTTCTAAAAAGTCAGGGTCAGAAGGGGGTATGATATGCTTCTATTTGTGTAAAAATGAATACACATACACATATATAAATATATACGTGTACGGACATGCACACTGTTGCAAGCATTATCTTGCAAGAATATTGTTTGTTTCTAGGGAGGGAGATGGCAGAATTTAGTAATATGGGGTAGAAGGGAGACCTACATATAAGTATGTATATATCTCATGACACCTTATGAATGTTTTATGTGCAAACATTTATTTCTCCATTAAAAATATTGAAAGAGAGAGTTGAGAGGGCAGATAGCTATTTCAGGGTCCCTAGTCAACGAAGGCTCTCACATATAATCACAGAACCTGCATTACCATCCCTTCCTTCCTCCCCTGTCTAAGCAAACTGCTTCCCTTCCTTATATCAAGCATTGCAGCCTCTTCCAGAATGTCCCCACTGCAGGCAGAGTGACACTGGAGGTGGGTGGCCAATGAGTAGGGCCTGCCCCAGCCCCCAGCAGGCCTGGCCCTGGGTGTGTGTGTGTCCTGTTGGCAGGGCACAGTGATGCGCCACACAGCAGCAGTTCTGAAATCTTCTCTGCTGTGTACCAAAGAGGTGAGGAAGGCAGTAAGGCCCCCCAGAAGCTGGCTTCCCCAGGAGATGAGGTGCCTTGCTTTGATGATTTAACGGCAAGAATGTTGTTTTGTTAGCACAATAGTTATTGAGCAAATGCATAAACAGTAAATAAATGAGCAAAATGTACAGATGAGCATTTTATGTAAACACATGAGCAGTCACTGACCAGAGGATAATGGAGAAGGCCTGTCCCGGGGGAGGGGACGTTACTGCTCCTCTGAGATTAGAGATGCTTATCCCAACTAATCTCAACATTTCAGGAAGGATGATGATGAAGAGTCATCTATTTACTCATTCAACAAATTTTATGGAGCACCTACTATGTTTAAAGCACTGTGCTGGATGAAAAAGGCAAAGGCGTCTATGAGGCTTTTGCGGGCTGTCTTGGGAAACTGAGCCCCATCATGATGTGAACAGCTTGGCTCAGAGCAGGTTTACTTGAAAGATTCATGAACTTCAAACTAATTGACAGATTTGACCCCAACTTGATTCCAAAGACATGTGATGCCAATGAATCTGAGTTTAGGATGAGCCTATTATTCTTTTAACTTTGTGCTTCTACTATTCTTTTAACTTTTTGTGCAACTAAGCTCCCCCTCCCCCAACCTAGCTCCAGTGCTCTGAAAACTAGGTGAGATGTTCTACTGATGAAATCAAATAAATGGCACCCCTCCATTTCCTTCTTTCAAAGGAAAATCAAGCCAGCTGATACAGTTTTCTTAACTTTAAGTTTCTCCTCCTTTAAAGGGTTCTTAAACCCTTATCATCAGCTTATTCACTCTTTGCTTATTCATTCTAGTTTTTAAAAATAACACAATAGCTTTCTGATTTAGCAGGAATTTAAATACTAGTTATTTTTCTTATCTATGCAATGAAAGGGTTGGGCTGCTCATTCAGGGATCTTCAGAGTTTCCTTTAGCACCAGCACACCATGCCCTGCCGTGTCAGGGTCTGTTGATGATGTGAAAATTGCCTAGACTGCTGGGCCTCTGCTGGGAGTTAAGGCAACCCTGGCCAGCCAGGCCCCCGCCTCGGAACTCTCTCAGCCAAACCCTGCCTCATGTTGACCTTTTATCTGAGAACAGGAGCAACTCCAAGTTGGAAGAGACTGAAGTTCAACTTTTCTGTATCTTATGTTCTCTAATAATTCACAATTGCATGTGGCAGCCCTTGGCACTAAAAAGAAGAGCTCTGTCAAAAAGTTCTTTTTTTGTGTGTTGCACTTATTAGTGGAAGTCCAGCTGCTTCCAATATCAGGTGTTATTGGCAGGATCCTGCCCTCTCCCCCTCTATTTTTCACAGAAAAAAATGACTGAGAAGAGTCCTTTATATTGGGCTTTCAAATGAACTTGGGAACTTCCTTATAAATGAGAGAATTGCTGCAGGAACCCACATCTATCAAGATAATGAAGCTGTACAGTGAAGGTCAGCTTGAGGCAGAGGAGGACAGCTGGGCCTGAGCTTCGCTTACTAAGTCCCCTAACTGTGTTCTAGGAAGGGGCAACTGATCTCTAAAACCATCAGCAGAACTCTTACGGCTGTAGATGTATAGTTACATTTTGATGTATAAACTTTTCCAATAAATAATAGCAACCATAACACCAGCTAATATTTACTGAGCTCCTACAATGGAACCTGACACTTTGACATAGTATGTGAATACCTGGAGGGCTTGCTAGAGTGCTATTAATACACTTAAAAGTAAAAGAGAGAGATTGTGAGAGACGAGGGAGAAGTGAGAGCGCACATGCTGTCACAGGCCTTTTCTGCCTTCTCAATTCTGTATTTGAAAATCCTTTTGGAAAAAATTTTCCTGAATTTTGTTTCTGGAACAATAATGATCTCACTGGTGGCAACAACACTGCAATTCATCATTCTTCTTCACTCTGGATGTCGACATTAACCGAGAACTTGGTCTAATGTCAGAATTTGGGACTGTTTCAACTGTTTCCAGTGTGGTGTGTCTGTGAGAGTGAATAAGACCGCCTCCACCAAGAATGAGTCAGGGGAACCACAGTCAGCCCAGCTGATGTTGGCAGGGATTTGCTATTGGCTAGCAGGTAAGCAGTGCCTTGGTCTAGCAGTGGTGAGTTTCCCACACTAGAAATTCCAACTAAGAATGCATTTTCATATAGAAATAAGGTTACAGAAGGTGACTTAGTTATCAGACTAACCCATAAAGCACATTTAGCATTCACCAAAAATGATATTTTATGCCACAGAGTCAGCCTCTATAGCTGTGTGGAGGGATGTTGCTTTGTCCTGGGCAATGTATGCATGTACACACGTGTTTGTGTGTATAAAGTGTCATTCAGTTAACATAACAAAGTAATGAATGGTAAACAGTAATGCAAAGATAACAACACCATAATTTGAGAATAGCCTGGGTTAAACAGGCAAATATTTGTTAATAAGTTGGCTAGTTACCCTTTACTGTGGCAGAGAAACAAGCCAGCCTTGAGTAGGTGGTACGTGCTTGGCATATTTACATATGTTATCCTGATTTAATCCTCATTTAATTGCAAAAATCTCTATGAAGAAAGTAGAGTGGAGTTATATGTAGGCTTAGATTCTAAAGTCAACAAATAAAGTGAAAATTATATAGACTCCAAATTTGCTTTGAAAATCTGAATCACATATAAAGATATACATGGTTTTATTATAACCATGAAGAGTAATAAGTTGTATGATACATATAGTAATATATCATATATCATAGAGTTCCTATGGAACATATAATTTTAGAGATAAAATTGCTGGGCTTATTTGTAGGGGGTCATATATATAAAAATAAATATTAAAAATGTCTTAACTAAATACATAGATCAAGTTCACATATTTTAATTCACTCAAGTGTATGCTCCACTGTAATTTTATCCCACGTTTACCAATGAGGAACTCAGAGAAGTTAAGTAACTTGTTTAAGGAGAGACAGCTAGTAAGTCTGGACTTTGATTGGAGTTTGGACTTAGATTTTACTTGCTCCAGAGCCTATACCTATCTTTCAAAATATATTTTGACTTCTAAATCATTGTCCAGCAAATGACACTTGGAAGATTACTTAAAGTTAGATTTTGCCCATATTTATATATAATATGTTACATATAATATCTGCATACACACAAGCACATGGCTATGTGGCTAGTACATATATACTAGAAATTTACAAACCTGGAATATAGGCATTGAATGAATCAATTCAAATGGACAAAATGAGAAATCCAGATGACCACTGGAACACTTATCAAGCAGTTTTCCCTCAGCACTCAGTGTATATTGTCAATACCCATCACGATATTGTGTGTGTTAATACCTTTCATTCGACACATTAAATTACTGAGGCTGGCCGAGTGCAGTGGCTCACACTTTTAAGCTCAGCACTTTGGGAGGCCGAGGCGGGCTGATCACTTGAGGTCAGGAGTTCGAGATCAGCCTGGCCAACACGGTAAAACCCCATTTCTATTAAAAATACAAAAATTAGTAGGGCATGGTGGTGGGTTCCCATAATCTCAGCTACTTGGGAGGCTGAGGCAGGAGAATTGCTTGAACCCAGCAGGTGGATGTTGCAATGAGCCGAGATTGTGCCATTGCACTCCAGCCTGGACAACAGAATGAGACTTGGTCTCAAAAAAAAAAAAAAAAAAAGAAAGAAAAAAAATTACTGAGGCTAAAAGATGGACATGGTACAAACACAGAAGGCACTGATTCATCTGAGGTATTGGTGTCATGCTTAAAATCCTGTGTATTTCAGATATATACATTGTCCATCCAACCATCCATCCATCCATCCATCCATCCATCCATCCATCTAGTAGATGTACCATGTGCCAACCAACATACCCAGAATTTTTTTTTTTTTTTTGAGATGGAGTCTTACTGTCCCCCAGGCTGGACTGCAGTGGTGCAATCTTGGCTCACTGCAAGCTCTGCCTGCTGGGTTCACGCCATTCTCCTGCCTCAGCCTCCTGAGTAGCTGGGACTACAGGCGCCCGCCACCACGCCTGGCTAATTTTTTGTATTTTTAGTAGAGACGGGGTTTTACCGTGTTAGCCAGGATGGTCTCGATCTCCTGACCTTGTGATCCACGCGCCTCGGCCTCCCAAAATGCTGGGATTACAGGTGTGAGCCACCATGCCCGGCCCAGAATTTTTGTATTGAAAATAGGAAATACACTCTCCAGCAATTTGGGAATCTATACTGGTTGGTTCTGAAGAATTGGAAATTATTCTTATTGAGTAAAAAGTTAGAAGTATATATCCTACTATAAGACTTTTATAATGTGTTATTTGCATTGTAGGTCTGTTATGAATTGTTATCTTTTTATTAGCAAACCTTGCCTGAATTATTAATATATATCTTGGTTTTTTTAACTGGTACATTTCTGCAAATGAATACAATGACATTTCTTTCAAAATAAAGATGAGCCAGACTTTTCATTAATTGGGGCAGAACTTTACCCCCATGCCAATAATTGATGAGGTTTTGCTTTATATTTTATTCATAACCCACAAAGGCCAAAGCTTTGCATTCTGTGGCATTCTCATTTAATTGCAAAGTACACTGACCGGGGGTCAGAAATTTCAGGGCTGAGCACAACTCACAGCCAGTCATTCAGGTGTGCTGTGTGTCACATGGATGCTAGAAGTGAAGCCATCATCGTTACCTGTGGTATTAAAGCCAAACAGAAGAGGGCAGGACACAGCAAAGGCCAGTACCCAGACGGCCGTGATCATGAGGGTCACGCGCCGACAGGAGCTCTGTCCCGTGCCATGCTGGTAGTGAACGGGCATGACCACTGCAGTGTACCTGAAAAAGCAAGGGAGAGGGGATAGGCATGGTGAGATGGAATGGGATACTTTTCTTTCTTTGTTGCTGTTGTTTTTGGAGACAGGGTCTCACTCTGTCACCCAGGCTGAAGTGTAGTGGCATGATCACTGTTCACTGCAGTTCAACTCCTGGGATCAGATCCTCCTACCTCAGCTTCCCAAGTATCTAGGATTATACGGCTATGCCACCAGCCTGCCTAATTATTTTATTTTTTTGTAGAGATGGGGTCTTACTTTGTTGCCCAGGCTGGTCTCAAAATCTGGGGCTCAAGCAACTCTCTGGCCTCAGCCTCCCAAAGTGTTGGGATTACAGGCGTGAGCCACCAAGTCCAGTGAGGGGCTCCTTTCAAAAGACCAGATGAAAGAAGTTAGTAGAGAAATAATCAGGTTGATACATATGGCATGAGAAATACAATTTAGTTAGAGGAAGAGAGAAAAGCAGAAAGGTCAAAAATAGCAGAAGGGTTGAGATAAGATACATGAAGAACTTATTGAGGGAGGTGAACAGAAAAAGGGAAGAATACAAAAGTTAACACAGCACCACTGGATTGCTGGAGAGCTTCTTTACTGGTTCTGCCTGATCGCCCAGCATAACCGGCCTTACCGTCACACACTCTTCACTCTGAACGCTCTGGGCGCTGGTCTATGTGCCTTTACCGTCTCCTGCAGGTTTTCAGACAATGAAAGAACGTACCTAAAGAGGATGTTTACCCCCTGCTTGTGTCCTAATATAAATTATAGCCTTCATTGTGACAGCTCCTCTAAGTAGTAGATGTTTTAAAAATGGAAATGAGAAATGTCCAATGGAGGCTTATTTTAAAATCCAGTTTTCATTCTTTTACATAACCAAAGTCCAGTTCCTTACTATTATTGGACATTGTTGTGGTTTCTTTTGTATGACAATTCTTCATCAGCATTTCCAGCTGCCCGTAGGACTTAGCTGGACAACTGTTCCACAGTCATCTCAAACTCAAGATGTCTAAAACAGATCTCCCCAACTCCCCACGCCTCTCCATCTGGTTGCACTTTCTGCCTTTCTTCAAGACACCCAGACCTAGTACTCAGACCTTTTGACTCTCCCTGGACCCTTTCATATAATTTGCTTGCTTATTTATTTATTTATTTAGAGATGGAATCTCATTCTGTCACCCAGGCTGGAGTGCAGTGGTGCGATCTCAGCTCACTGCAACCTCTGGCTCCCAGGTTCAAGCAATTCTCCTGCCTCAGCCTCCCGAGTAGCTGGGACTACAGGCGCGTGCCACCATGCCTGGCTAATGTTTTGTATTTTAGCAGAGATGGGGTTTCACCATGCTGCCCAGGCTGGTTTCGAACTCCTGAGCTCAGGCAATCTACCCGCCTCAGCCTCCCAAAGTGCCAGGATTATAGGCGTGAGACCCCGTGCTCAGCCTTGGTCACTTATTTATTTAAACTTTATTCAATATTTATTGAGTCCCATCTATATGCCAGGCCCCATTCCAGATATTCAGAGGTTTGCAAAAGGCACATTGTCCCTGTTCTCTTTGAGCTTAGCGTTAAGTGGAGTGAATGAACAATAAAAAAGGAAACAAATATGTTAATATAAAATGAAGAGTACCATGAAAGAAATACGCTGGGTGATGTGTTAGAGAACCAGGGAGGAGGTAAAACTAACACAGAGTGGGCAGGGAAGTGAGTGGTACAAGAGGCAGCCAGCCATGAGGTCAGATGGGGAAGGAACATTCCAGGTCCTGTAAATTTATCCATTGAGATATCTTCCCCATTTATTTATCCACCTATCCCTTTCCTGCTACCTGATTTCTCTGATGGCTACAGCCTCCTCGTTGGTCTCTTGCTGCCAGGTTCCAAAAATAAATTTCATCACGTCTCCCTATCTCCCCAGCTGAAACTTATCTGAGACAGGCAGTACTCAAGGATGGCCCCAAGATTTCTGCCTTGTATAGTCCCCTCCGTTGAGTGTAGGCTGAACCTGTGATTATAATGTAATACCACTCCTGTGATTAGATTACTGATCAGTTGAGGTTGAGATAATCAAAAGGGAGATTATCTTGAGTGAGCCTGACCTAATTAGGTGAGCCCTTAAAGGGGACTGAGAAATTATCCTCTTGGCCTTGAAGGAGCAAACTGCTATGTTTTGGAGAGGGTCATTTTTTAAGGAGATGGCAAAAGGTTTACAGGAGCTGAGAGCAGCACTGGTTGACAGACAGCTAGAAAGTAGGGACCTTGGTCCTGCAACTGCAAGGAACTGAATACTCCTAACAACCTGAATGAGTGTGGATGAGGACCTCAGGCTCCAGATGAGAACACAACCCAGTCTACACCTTGAGTTCAGCCCTGCGAGATTCTGAGAAGAGAATCTACCCACACTGTGTACAGGGTTCTGACTTACAGACTCTGCAAGATAAAAATGGGTACAGTTCAAGCCTCTAAATACGTGATAATTTGTTCCACAGCAATAGAAAATGAATACACTGTTGATGGCTCCTCTTTCACCCATAAACCAAGCTCAGCCTTCTCCAACATGACCTCAGCTTATGTTGCCAATCTGACCTCCCACTGATCCCTGACACTCACTCACAGCTCCAGCCCAACTGGCCTCGTGATGAGTACTCTTCAATAGTCAGAGACTGGTGTCTTTGTTCAATTAATCATTCCTTCTCCCTCCCTGGCCAACTCGATCCTGCCATCCATTAATCTCAGATGAACTCAACCAGCAACCTTACCGGTTCTTTCCATCCTACACAGAGACTTCTAACTAACTACGAACTCTTAGCACTTCTATGCAAATCAATTACAATGCCCTCCTGCATGCAGCTGTCTTGCCTCATGACTGAATTTGCCTTGTGGCTGAAGAGAGAGAGCCTCATATCATTTAAGTTACTTCAGGATCAAATCTTGTTACAACCTTGATATTCTCCATAGGTCCTTGTATAAAGAAAGTAATAAGAAACTGTTAACTGACTGCCTCATGGGTCATGAAGGCCTCCTTTCCTGTAGGAGGGGAAGGCTTCCTTCCCTTCTAATCCTGGCCAGGCTCAGGGATCTAAGGTATAAGCTGGATCTACCTATGGCTTAACATTTTTTGTCTTGTCAGTTTCCAGGGAACCTGGAGCCTCCTTAACCCTTGTTGTGCACCTCAAGGCCTGGGATTAAGGAAAGAAGGACAGATGCTGGGCTAGAAGGGATTGGGCAAGGCTTCCTGATGCTCCTCCTGTGTGTTTCCCCTGCTCCTATGTGCCAGCACTGCCCGAATCTGCCTCTTGTGCAACTTGTTGTAGAGTGATAAGATTTGTATTCCCAAAAGGGCAGATTACAGTCAGCTGTGAGTTCTGAGATGAAGGTAAACTGTGCAGGACTTGGCCTTGACACCATGAGGTATGACAAAGGTGGCTTCTTTCTCAAAAGGGAAAAATTTGATAAGGTCATATTAAGATCCTGCTACCCGCTCCTTGGGAGGCTATAACAACCTAGTTCCCTTCATCTGATGCAAGTTCTCTCTTGAATCCTCTCCTTGGTGTATACAAGAGCAGGTCAAGTAGCAGCTGGTGTTTCCCTAGGCCTCTGGCTCCCCTCAGGGCTTTAGACTCTGCTGGGCTTCCAGTCCAATATGTCTACAAGGGCCTCGCTGTTAGCGGTAACTATGAGGAACCTTGGAGGAGGGGCTGAGCCTTGAGTCCTGTTGCTGCCATGACCGAACAACGAGGGGAAGGAATGCTGTAGTAACTCGCTTTCTCCAGGCCTTCCACTTGCATAATATCCTTTGATGTAAAAGAGCCTGGCCCTTCTGTGTATTCAGTGGTGTGCTGGCAAATGGCTAACAATAGGCTCTGTAGTTTACAAAAAGCCCTAATTTGTAATATTTGCCAATTTCTGTGGCGTAAATACTCCCACCATGGCCGATTTTAAGCTACCACCAAAGCTTTAATAACTGACTCAAAAGGTTTCTAAAATTTTGCCAATCAGCTCTTGCTAGCCATGATAAGCTGGCTTCAGCAGACCACCGAGAGTCATATACTTTCCTAAATATGCTAGAACGTTCAGCAACTCCCTGGAGGCTCCATTAATGAAGTGAGCCAGCAAGTGTAGGAAACCTTGGCTCTATCCCATAAAGGAGGAAGCAGAGACGCAAAGATGTCAATTATGAACCCAAGGTTCTGCAGCAAATTGTGGCAGAGCCAAGTCTCCCACCTCTGAGGTGTGTTTCTCCTGAGTGCCCTCCTCCCTCTCAAGGGCATCGACAGCTCTCTGAGTTCTTGTGGGGGACAGGGGCTTCCTCAGCGAAGTCAGCATGGCAAGGGTGGTTAGTGCTTGCAGAGCAGTGCGTGCGACCACAGCTGAGTTTCCTCAATCAGCTTGATTCTGTTAATTGCCTGGGGATCCTGTTAAAATGCAGAATATCGGCTAGGCGCGGTGGCTCAGGCCTGTAATCCCAGCACGTTTGGAGGCCGAGGCAGGCGGATCACGGGGTCAGCAAATCGAGACCATCCTGGCTAACACAGTGAAACCCCGTCTCTACCAAAGATACAAAAAATAACCGGGTGTGGTGGCGGGTGCCTGTGCTACTCGAGAAGCTGAGGCAGGAGAATGGCGTGAATCCGGGAGGCGGAGCTTGCAGTGAGCCAAGACTGCGCCACTGCACTCCAGCCTGGGCGACAGAGCGAGACTCCATCTCAAAAACACCACCACCACCACCACCACCACCACCACCACCACCACCACCACCACCAGCAGAATATCAGGCTTAGTTTCTGGAGATTTTGATTTAGTATTTCTGAGGTGGAACCAAGAAATGTGCATTTTTGTTTCTTCTTTTTAAAAATTATTTTATTTTTTGATAAGTTATTGGGGTACAGGTAGTATTTGGTTATGCGAGTAAGTTCTTTATGGTGATTCGTGAGATCCTGGTGCACCCATCACCCAAGCAGTATACACTGTACCGTATTTGGAGTCTTTTATCCCTCGCCACGCTCCCCTCCATCTGAT